GTTGGGCTCGGACTTGGGGGGCTGTCTGGAAAAAGGAGGGGGCTGGCCTGGAGGATAAAAGGGGACTGGCTTAGCGCCTGGGGTATTGGGCTGGGGCTTTGGGATGAGAGGGGGTTAGCGGGGCGGGCGGGGAGAAAAGAGGGGGCTGCCCTGGAAGCTGGGGTGTGGGAGAAGAAGGGACCTGGGCTGGAGCCTGGGGGGGCTGGTGTGAGGTGCTGCAGGGCAGCCTTGGGCTGAGGGGAAAGAGGCAGGCTTCATCTTAGGGTTTGTGGGGCCCTTGGGGCCATGCTTACCTACCCACTTGTGGGGGTATTAGGAGTTATGCCTGGCTGCAGGAGGGAGGAGGGGGCTATTAGGGAAGGGCTGTTTACTGGGCTGCCCGGATGAGTGAGAGTTTGGGGGAAGGAGTGGTCAGGTGACGTAGGGGACAGCTTGCACAGGTTTGCCTGTTGGGTTGTGCTAGGTACCTTCCGTGACATGTGTTGGGACAGTGTGTGCAATGGGAGCTGGGGGGACAGCTTGCACAAGTTTGCCTGTTGGGTTTTGCTAGACACCTTCCGTGAGGTGTGCGGGGACAGTGTGTGCAATGGGAGGTGGGGGGACAGCTTGCACAGGTTTGCCTGTTGGGTTTTGCTAGACACCTTCCGTGAGGTGTGCTGGAGCAGCGTGTGCTATGGGAAGTGAAGGGTTGCACAGCCAGGGGCCCTGGAGGGAAGGGGAGGCTGGCCCAGGAGGTGTGGCAGAGGGCACATGTGGGGATTTAGGTGCTGGGATAAGTGGTTTTGGCTCTGAGATACAGGGTGGTTTTGCTGAGTTGTGCTGGTGACTCCTCCTGTGGCTCATTAGCATGATTAGTCACAAGCTGCTTTTTCTCTTAGGGCATTTTCAGTTGGGGGTGGGAAGAAGGTTGACTTTTTCAAAAGCTCCTGTGTAAATGGAAAATGGTTTGTGATCCCCTGAACAGCACAAGTTCTGACTCAGAAGTGCAGTGGTAGTTAAAAAAAAAAACCTAATGTGTGACTCAAAGTATAGAAATGTTTGACTTCTATAAGCCCAACCGATGGAAAGAAACTATTTTATAGACTGAGAGCTTGACAAGAGGTAGGAATATAAACACTGTTGAAAATTGACTGCTGGAATGCATTTCTATGAAGGAGACATGGTTGTAGCTGCAAATCTCTGTGTGTCTAACAGAAACAGAGGTTCAATTTCATAGTTCTAATTATAAGTGTCAGTTTTCAGTTTAGACAGTAGAACTTATGTTTTCTATATCTAAATTGTGAACATAGTCTGTCTCATAGTTCTAGCCTCTGTACTTTGCCCTGTTGTGGAATGCTGTGTTGGTTAACTATTGTGAGGCCTCTGTGAGAGAACTTACTCAAGTACTGTTCTAGATATTCACTCTTCCAGAGAGAATCAATATGCTAGATTGTTTATATAAAGGCAAGTTTTTTTTATTGGATCAAGAGGAGAGATGAGCAGAATGATTCAGTAGATACTATAGAATTATTTTAGCATCAGATGGTTTCTGCAAACTTTAGGTGGCAGTATTTTATTGCCATTAAGGGGGGAAGCATATTGTCATTTGTGAGCCATGCTGAACTAGTGAATCAGCTTTCTTTGTTATGCATACATTTATTTATTTATTATAATAATCAGATTAGTCTGGTATTTTATTCCTTTGTTAAATGTTGAAGGAAGTGCAGACTGTCTCCATGTAAATATTACTGTTTGAACACTGAAAATGCAGCACCTTAAGGCTTGGAAATTCAGGGTTAAGATTTTCACCTTTTTAACACATAAGAACATAGGAATTGCCATGCTAGATAAGACCAGTGATCTGCGTAAGGCAAGTATCCTGACTGAAAGTGGCCAATACTAGATACTTCAGACAGGGGTCTAAGTAATCTTATAATAGATCATTTAAAATATTGTAGCCATAAATAATTTTTTCTTATCCCCATCAGTTTCTGGATGATTTAAGGCCTGAAGCATGACTATTTATATCTCTCTCTCCTAATTTTAAACTTTTTTAAAATTTTGAACATCTAAGCCTATTTTAAAGTATACTAAACTTGGGTGTCAGTTAAGGATGTTAAAATGCAATTATCTGGCTAATCGTATAGTTGATACAAATTGTATCGACTATATGATTAGTTGATAAGCACTGCTGTGCAGAGCCACAGCAGAGGTAGCTCCAGGAGCCGGCTCTGGAGTCTCCCACACTGCTGCTCTGCATTTTAAATGTAGTAAGAGCCACTGGGCTCTTACTACATTTAAAATGTTGAGGCGTAGCGATCAGCGTGAGCCAGGACTGCTTGGTACTGGCTCATGCTGAGTCCAGTAGCCCCTATTCACAGTGGACAGTCCTCTCTACCGCAAACAGGGGCTGATGCCAGACCAGCCCTTGTTTGCGTTGACCAGGGCTGGCTATGGACATGGCTGCTGCCAGCCCTGGCCGCCACAAACAGGGGCTGCTTGGTGATACTAGCCCCTGTAGGTAGGGAGCCCAGCTTCCTGCTGGGACTCCTGCAGACAGGGGCTACTTCCTGGCAGCGTCGCCTATTCCTCCGCTGCTGCCTCTGATAAAGGTGGGGGAGAGGGCGCGGGAGGCGGCTCATAGAGGCAGCACGGGAGAGGGGGTGTCGCTGCAGAGAGAACGGGGCAAGTGGGGACTGTTTGAGTACCTGCTTGTTGTAGCACCTCTGTTTTTGAAATGTACAAGAGCCCCTGAGAGCTCTTGTATATTTCAAAAGCAGAAGTGCCCACATTGGTAACCAGCATCAGTGGGGACTGGAGCAGTCCATGCTCCTGCTGTTTTCCCCACTGTGCTTTTGCCTCCCCTGCCCACCACAGAGACCATGCTGGGGGAATCAGCTTAAAGCTGGTTCACCCCAGCACCGGCTCCTGCTCCTCTTCCCCCTCCCCACTTGCTGCCTCTTGTCTGATAGAGGCAGCAAGTTGGGCGGGGAGGAGGGGGAGGGTGACTAGCCACTAACATCCGTACCAAATTCACAGTCTGTTTTGGTCAATGTCATGGTCATAAGACTTAAAAAATAATAAATTCCATTATTTCGGCTATTTAAATCAGACATTTCACAGTGTTGTAATTGGGGTCCTGAACCAAAAAGAAGTTATGGAGTGGGTCACAATGTTAGTGTCAGGGAAGTTGTGGTATTGCTACAATTACTTCTGTGCTGTTACTGGGGGCAGCCAGAGTGAGGCAGCTGCTGGCCGGGGTCCCGGCTCAGAATGTAGACCCACCAAGAGCAGCAGTGCAGAAGTATGGTGGTATTGCCACCCTTCTACACTGCTGCCTGCTCAGCTAGGCCCTCACTGAGCAGCTACCATTCTCCAGCTGCCTAGTTCTGAAGGCAATATAGAAATAAGGGGCGGCAATACTATGTACCCCCCAAAAAATAATCTTGTGACCCCTCCCCTTATAAATTCCTTCTGGGTCAGGACCTCTAAGTTGAGAAATGCTGATCTCTCCTATTAAATCTGTATAGTGTAGGATAAAAACATACACCACCAGATTTCACTGTTCATGATGCATTTTTATGACTGAATTTGGCAGGGCCTTATCTTTTAGCAATGAGCGCCACAGGTTAATTGTGTTGGGGTGTTTAACAAAGGTTTCCTTTTATCAGTGTTGAATTTCTTGCCCCCTCAGCTTCATTGGTGTTGCTCTGTGATTTATGCAAGCATATATTGGTGGGAGTATTGGCTTATTCTCTCTGATAATTGTTTAGTATACTTGTGTCATGTTCTCTTGTTTCCATCCTTTCTACTCTAAAACCAGTTATTCTTTTAGGTCTGTAATACAGAAAATCTAGCTATGCGTGAAAGCACAGTTGCACATCTCTTTGAATTTTAACAATAGTCTATTAAAAGTTCAATTTACATATACTTATACATTTCAGTGGAGACTGAACATGGCTTTTAGTACGTGTACTTTTGGCAGTTAACTTTCCACTATACGTTGTCAATTTTCCAGTAGAGACTGGCTAAACTCAGGCCTAGTTTATGCTAAAAAGTTATGTCAACCCAGCTGCGTTGCTCAGGGATATGGAAAATCCACACCTCTGAGACATGTGGTTAAGCTGACCTAACCCATGGGCGTATATAGAGGAGGCGCATTACCTATGCCAATAGGAGAACTCCTCCTGTCTATGTAGATGATGGCTATGCTGAAGTGTTAACAGTGGTGTTTCACATGTAGACAAGCTAATGTGAAATGAGTAAGGTAAAGAAATTGAGTTTTTCTGCTCTAATTTTATTTCCGGAATAATATCTTTATTTTTTTTGTTTTAATGCTATGAAAATACCACTGTTTGCTTCCTATTTGATGGTTTTATATTTCTCTTTTGAATCTTAAAAACGGTTTCTGTTATCACGGAAACATTGGTTTT